CAGACCCGAATCGTCGGCGCACCGATGCCTGGGACCCCAACCGCCGGCGGGATCCTGCGGATGCTAACCGGCGTCGCTCTTCGACAAACCTCCTTCTTAATGAGGGGACGGCCCAGCAAGCTTGGGACAAGGCCGTTGCGTTTTATGCAGGATCAAGATGGGACTCGCGCGCTGACGCTGTTATGCTGGATGCAGAAGCCAACATGCTTTGCTCCTTGTTCGGCACGTGTGACGAAGAGGATGAAGGAGTCTCTATGGCCAGCGACATAATCTTCCGTCACTTCGAATCTGGACAGACCGCTTTGATGCAGGATGAGTGTGGTAACCTCACCACTGATCGGGATCGGATTATCTCCCTGATGTATGTGCCACTGATTCAGAACCTGCTGTATGCTTCATACAAGCTGGCAACGAAGATGAGCAACGAGGAAACTCTCATTCAGCGCGACCGTGGCCATGGAATCTTTTTTGCAAAAGCCATGCAGCCTAAGCTGGCCAGCTGTGCGCAAGATGTAGCGGACATTGTGGCCCGTAATCTGCTCGTGCCTTTCCCAGCAAGAGAGATGCCAGTGGCATGTCTGACCTATCAGCAACATGTGTGCTTGCTGTATCGCCGCTTCTAATGTGTGAAGGTGCCAAAGAGCGAAGAGCCAATGCAAGACGGATATGCAGAGGCATTTTTGTTGCGAAATGCTGTTGGGATTGATCTTTTTGGGGAGAGTTGCGGGCACCTTGTGTGATTTGAGGAAGTTGCCCCAAAACAACAGGTGAAGCTCGCATTGGAGCGAACCTACGACTGCCTGGGCCTGCAGTGTTGGGGCCTTAGCAGTCTCAGCATCTTGGAACCAACCCCCCCCCGCAAGGTTTCGGCACTTCAAGCAGTAAGTAATTGTAGTTCGTCGAGAGCAAAGTCCACGCCTGCAGTCACAGCTGTGCGAGGCGAGGACATCGGTGGGATTTTGGAGGATCCATTGTCCCAAGCCAACGTGAAGTATGCTCCGGGAGCGGAGCCATGCGGTTTCGCCGTCTTCGATGCCTCAGCACCACAACCACAAGATGGCGTCGATGCCGGTGTTGTCGTGGCCGTCGTGCTGAGCGTGCTCGCTTTTGCTGCCGTTGTTGTACTTCTGGCCTGGAGGGTTGCTTATGCTCGTGGGGCCGAACGGGCGCGCTTCATCATGAGGACGCCCTTCTGTGTTGTCGGATTTGTGGAGACATTGCGCTTTGTGCGCCGTGATGCCCGGCAGGACACCGGAAGCCTCGCCGACGTCGCCCTCGCCTCCTGGTGGTGAGACGGTCATAGGCAGTGTCATTGGGACGAGAACCGAAGAGGTCCCTGTCGCCGATGACGGAACAAGTCTGAAGATCTGAGGACTGCGGTGTGGCAAGTTACCCTGCTCGTAGAGCTGCAAGTAAATGCTTGTCATGTGGCTCAATGTAGGTGTTGCAAGTACAGGAGCTGCGCCGAAGTGAGCCACGCATGCTTGGGATTTTTCAATTTTCTCACAAACCATTCTTGACCGCTTCATGGCGTACTAGAACAGTTCACTGAAGGAAGACTTTCAATGACCCATGACATTATTCTAGGGTCTACCATCGTACACAGCGAGGCATCATCATGCTACATAGCAGAATGCCGTGGAGGGGGGTTATGACTGTAGAGTCATTGTGGGCTCTCGGCTGTCAAAGCCGGCGATTTTGCAAGTGTGCGCCGCCAATGCGTCGCAGCTTGATTTCCGGCGGTGCACTACGCACGCCGATTGGGAGTGGCGTTCTGCGATAGTTGCGGGGGAATGTTTGATGTATGTATGTTCTGCAGCATGAGACTTCGGAGCGAAGCCCCCTTGTGTTCAAAGCCGCGGCTGGGCAGTCCGCATGCTTCATGAGTTGTAGAGATTTGCAGCTGACAATTTGTAAGGGCGTGCTACTTACGGGTACCTAGGCATGCTAATTTTCCGAGCTAGGTTGTAACATTACAGTTGCATTCCCAACATAAGGATCGCTTGTAGAATTTCCTCATATATGTGAGACATTGACATGCTACTCAGAGTGCCTGGAAGTAAGCCACGCCCGTTCCAGAGTTGTAAGGGTCTTGTACAGAGTTGTAAGGATTGCAGATCCGTGAACATTTTTGTCGTGAGTGCGACCTTTGCCAAGACGGCGATTTGCCTCCGAACGCGGTCACATGCTGCCGCATACCCTTTCGATTCAGCTGCCAACAAAATGTCACTGAGAACCGAGGGTCGGAGCCGCTGCACGCATTGCAGAACGGCCGGGGCATACACACTTTCTTCTAAGCCCTGATGTAAGTGTGTGCACAGAGGCGTACAGGGCACATTGCACAGCGCGACATGCCGTTCCGCGCCATCGAAGTATACGCAATGTCACGCAATCGTCACCTTGCATGATGGTGACGCGCATGCCTTGGCGCGCTGTGTCGCACTTCATTGAGCTATGATACTGCAGTAGCAGGATCCTTGCAGCCGCGGGCTTAAACGACACATCCTGTCGGTTGTGAGCTGTGTTGGTTCCATGCCGGCTAGTCCAGGTCGTTCTGTAAATACGCCCAGTGATGCCGGCCGGAGCGGGGAGCTGATGTCGCAAGCAAAACGTGTGATGTGGCGGCTGAATGAAAGAACAAGCAATGACTCAACTGCACCCAAAACATTTGCTATGCTTTTGAAGGCGCGAGTCTAGATGTCAACTTGGCTTTCAGTGATTTGACGAGTTGTGTGATGAGTTCGGCAGCAATCAGGCATGAGACTAGCGGGGATCAGGGTTGCGGTTCAAGCAAAGGTGGCACATCGCGAAGCTTCGAACAATCTCGCTCGACTCGGGGGCTCGACCTGCTGCTGACAACTCGGGAGCTTTGCCATTCCATGGTTCAAGAAGTTCAACGAAGTGCTATGCCGCCTCTGAGGGCCTTAGCTTGATCTTAATCTGGTTTGATCGAAGTCTGTGATGTAATAAAGTGCAGTTTCGCGGGCGTGGGTGTATATTCTCAGAAGAATCCGGGCCTCATTGCTCAGAGCCATGTCGCGTCATGGTGCTCCGCAAGGCTGCTGCACTTCCGCTGTTCATCTTTGGGCAGCAATGTTCGTGATAAAAGGGCTTCCGTCCGTCGACTCTGGCAGGCGAAAGCTGCGCCAAAACGGCATCCAGGTGGTGCAGGCGAAGGGTTATCGTGAAGTGCAATATTGTGGATTGCCCATCAGCCCGTTGACACCGTCATATAATCTTGTTCATATTTCAGCTTGGTCGTGGCCTGCGGCGTACACATCTGGTTTCGTCAAGTCGTGCTTCGAGAGCAAAACGACTTGGTGACAGATAATTTCTCGACAGAGGTTGGTGCGAGCTTGAGCCAGGAGAAGCGAAGCAGGACAGCAACATCTTGTTGCCAAAGCATGCAGCGGCCCCGGGCCGAGGGACCCTTGGAGCTTCATCCACGATGCTCACCTACTCTGTCCTGGTCAGGAATCTCATGCTCTTTCGGCTCCAGCCGTTGTTGTCCTCAGCCCACTCCCCTGTGGAATTACGACAGGATGTCGATGGATGATGCAATGGCGTTGTTTCGCAGATTCGATGTAAATGGTAACGGCACGCTCGGATTCGATGAGCTACGTGAGCCGCCATGATGCACAGAAGAAGCTCTTTTCTTATTTTGCTTCATGATGGTCGTGTCGTGCGTGGAGAGCCCGGTGCCAGCTTGCAAGGTTGTTGCTGATCGTTGGGGTGCCGCCTGCCGACATTCCCGGACTTTTTGGCATCATTGACACCAATGCCGATGGCTCCCTATCCTGAAGGGATCAGCATCGCATGTTCACGTATAAAGTCTATAGAGCATGGGCTGGCTTCCGTGTACATGTTGAATACAGGGAAGCCTGACCGCTTTCTGGACTCAAGTCAGGATATTCTTGTTGAACTCACGGCACTTGCAATACCTAAACCTAGAAGTGTCACTGCGGGGCAGGCGGGTTGGGCAAGTCGAGCTACGCTGAATGATGGCAGTATTCCGAACGAATTTCCGTTGTATGGATACGTGTTCTCAGCATAAAAACTGCAGATGCACCGATCCACAGACATCACAGAAATTGAGCACGAGTCGCTGCCATGGCTAATTCCACACCAGTGCTTGATGTAGAAGTGGCTTTGGGGGAAACAAAAAAGTGCGGGTACTTCTCGGCTTTCGGGTCTGCGGATTCCGTGGTGAGGGCCTAGGGTTGCAGTCGCTGTCGCAGAAGGAGATGACATGTGTTGTTGGGAGATATTCGCTAAAGTCGGGGTAGCAATGCATCACTCCTCTGGATGTCGAAGCCTCGACGGATAATGTATCAATGTTTTCTGATGTTTTCTGGCTTGGAGTTTCGGGACTCGAATTCGGGTTTCAGACTCCAAGTTAAGTTTCGCAGCATCGCGAGCATCTTATGAACCCCCCGCGTGCTTCATCCATATCGTGCCAAGAAGCCTCACCTGGAGCTGTCATTTCGCTGTGTGGTCCCCAGAGTGCCGAATGTGCAACCCGAAAGTGATCAAAGTATACTCCGCAGTGGTTTGTCTTCGTAGAGTAAGTTTTTTTTGGGAGCCTTTTTCTTTTCTAGGACACGGCATCGGGCCTTGAAAGCGCATTGCTGTGTTGAACGGCGACCGTTCCCAAACTGCCAAGTTCGGCACCATCCCGCACACAACACAATCAAGCCGGCGAAAACCAAGTTAACTAAATGCACCATATACAGACCCTGCAAGCTCGCCTTTTTGTACGATGGGCTCCGCTGCCCTCCTTGGAAAAGATAGGCGAGAAGTGCTGCACAAGAAAACAGTGGGTACCATACAAACAGAACAGTGCTTCACATGTGATACTGTATGACTCTGATATATGATATGATATGACACGAAGCATAGTGAACTGTAGGAAATGTCGACTTCGACGAGTTTGTTCGATGGATGTGGATGCAGCCCGTGGATGCCAAGGCCAATGCATGTCTTGGACAGCACAGCAGATGTTTGGCGGCTGCCAGTCAGATTGACAACCAGTCACTGACAGGAGAAGATGGTGGGCAGCACAGCAGTTGCTCGACAGCTCTTGCGGGAAATCGCCGACAGGCTGGATGCCGACCATGTACCATATGTTGCCTGCCTGCACTTCGCATGTCGAACGTCGAGAAGCATCTTCAAGGCGACCGTGTTTTCAACGGACAAAGAGGGATAAAGAGAGAGCGAACTATAGACACCGGAGATGCCGTTGCAGGGCGGAGACAGCCCGACGTCGATGTGCTTGCATGATGAAGCATAATGCTCTTCAAGTTTTTCTTGGCACTCCTCTTTCCCACCACGCTTCCGATACGGGTCGCTGGCGAGGGAGGCATCAGCCACAGAGCCACAAAGAGAATGTTTCGAACCTGGATGAGCCCAGAGAGGACAGCAGCCATGCCCAGCAGAGGAAGACAACCCCGGGCTTGTGACCCGGCGCATGCGTGCGCAAGGGAGAGCCTGCAAGCTCCCCCTTTGGCTGAGTAGAAGAGGAAGGAAAGAAGGAAGGAAGGAAGGAAGGAAGGAAGGAAGAGAGCCCGTGCACCGAGCACCCGTGTCTTTTTCCGACACCCTCACAAGGCCCCGAAACAGGGGCGCGCCGTCCGGCGCGGGGAGCCTAACCTGCTCCCTGAACCCCGGAGAAGAAGAAGAAGCCCGTGCGGACGGGCCCGCAGAAAGAAGGAAAGAGACAGACGGACAGATAGAAGGACGGACGGATGAAGAGAGACCAAGCTGGCATTGCATCACATGCAAGTGCAAGGACACACTTTTCTCGCCTCTTGGACGCATAAGCTTCCTAACTGAATCTAACTGATGACGGGAAGCAGCGAGGTGCAGCAACTTTTTCACACAAATGATGTTAGCCGGAAGCCGTGCCGTCGTCTGACAGCGGGCCTATACCTGTTACAGGCCCAAAGGAAGGTTGGCTGCAATTGTGTGCTATCGTTTCGCAAACTGCTGATGACCAGAGGAATGCAGACGTGTCGAGAGATGGCCTTCTTTCCCGTATCTCGCCAATGGAAGCTGTCAGCAATCTTGTGCAGTCGGAGGGCAGCGCATGGAGACAGCCTTGGCTCGTCGCCCAGGTGACGAGCTGTCACGGATTTTGATGGCGTATCTGCCAGACGTTACATCATCAGTGCTGACAGAAGCGTTCAACCTCTGCGATTGGGACAACAGCGGATGGATATTTGTCAGAGCACGATAGCACAATTTTGCTGCTAATTGTCTCATGCGGTTGCCTGAAGCTTGGAGGAGTTCGATATTCCTTGTGAGCTTTTCGATGCTTTTCGTTTGAGACCATCCTGGCATCGCGGTAAGGATTAACGTGCAAGAGTTTGTCGCAGCACTGCGCCGCGAGGCCCGCCAGTGCCGTAGCTTTTCTGGTTCGTGCGATGGAGCAGCAAAGCCAGTGGCATTTTGTCATTTCATGCGTCAGGCGAGCAGTTTGAAGGCCAGCAGAGTGCGAGATGATTGGAGTCGTTGGATGCCTCTGACCGAAGTTCTCGCGGGACCTTAGCCTCGTCAGACTTGAAAAGCAAGCACAGGTTGTCAAGTCTTTTCTTCACGGACATCCGATAAGCGACCACGTGCTGTAGAACTTGGCTGCCGGCAGCGATTTCGCACGTTTTCAGCCTCTCTCCAAGCCCTCAGTGTTGAGCCTAGTGAGAGAGTGTCTACCCCTGAAAACATTGTGAAACCTCAATCAGTCTCATCGCATGCCCGGTGTGTTTGATGCGCCCCGTTCCCCGATTTATTCTGTCCCTAACATGTCCACTGCTCATACCGTCGTGTTCTGTTTTGCACATGGCCGGTTCAAGAAAGCCAATGCATGGTAAGCGCTCGCATGTCGACCTTTCTTACTCTACGGATTTGTCAGCAATCGGAGTTCTGTATAAAGATTGAAGTCCAAGCTCTGCACATTGGGAGAGGACGATAACGGACGATGCCCAAACCGATCACTCAAGGCTTGGACTGCAAACCCTTAGCCACGCGCACACAGGGGCATTAAAAGCCTCGATTTCTTGAGGCACGTTATGGAGCACAAAAGTGAACCTTCGACCCTTCCAGAGGTGTACCGCGGTTCTTGCGACCCACGTATGTCAAAGTGTTTGGGATGTCTCGGTCTGTGGACGTCCCGACACTGGATTTCGACATCGCCATGTTCGCCCCTTCCCCTTTCCATCTCCCGAATTTCATGACAGTGCGTGCTTGCAACTAGACCCCTGCAAGGCTCCCCGTCTTCGGATTCGTTTGGGCGGTCGAAGCCTTGTAGTGAGTCTGCTGTCCAGGTAGCAAAGCTTGAAAGAGGTTCGTCATCGTGAGATTCATGCTGTTTGCTGGTTGCTCCTTCGTGTCATGAGTTGCTGGAACTTCATGCTTGCATAGTCAGACATACAGGCATATGCACTCCATTTTGCAGTGCACGAGTGCCGTCCAAATGCCGAATGGCTATGAACCAACATCGTCTTGTTTGCTACACGTGTCACGTCGTCCTTTCGTGGTTTGGCGGACCAGGTCGAGCACCCAACTGCAGGAATGCACCTTCAAGGATCTCAAAATCAATCAGCTTAAACAGTCTTCTGCCGTCGTGCCTGCAAAGGGAAGAACGGGTAGAAGCTCGGGGGTCTCAAGTGCTAGAGGCCCTCAATCCAGACCCCCACCTGACGGGATGGTGGAGTGGTGGCTGTATGACCTGCCCCACACCAAAGTCCAAACAAGTGCAGGTCTGCTCATGCTGTCACCCCGCCCCTTTACTACCTTATTCAACTTAAGCATGTGCATGCGCGGACTGGGGAGCTGCCGCTGTTGTCAAGTGGCACTGGCCCTTCGTTGTCCCAGGCCTTTCACCGACCATAGTGCCACCTCGCAATCTAAATCGTCAATTTTTTTCAAACCCCGAAGGCCGCTGTGCCATCCACGGTGGATGTCGAAGTGTCAATACCGCCTGGCTGGCGGTATGGGATGCAGTTGCCGGCAACCAGCTCGCACATGCATAACTAATATTGCTTCAAGTCTATGTGCATCGAGCATTGCGTTTTTGTTGCTGCCGGACCAAGGTGACATACGATGGTCACATGTATTATGTGGATGCAGCATGACATGCATTATGTAAATTGTGTTCGACTTGTGTGGTGGGTCACAGGCATTGATATTCTGCACCGGCTGTCTGCGAGGTGCCTGCAGGTTGTACAGTTGGCAGTGCATTCACCACTACTTTGCAGCGAGCTGCGTGAATAGCTGTAGTCGCAACACTGGTAAGTCTGCCTTCGGTCAAGCCGTGCGGCAGCTGCTGTTCAAAGCTCTGACGAAATATCGTCGTTTCGGCTTGGAGGACGGCGTGCGCGTTCGCCTGTGGCATTTTGTTTGTGAGGAGATATCAAAGCTAGAGTGAATGTTTTTGGTTTTGTGGTTTGGCTTCCCTTGGCTCTATGGGCGAAGCGCGTTTTCAGGCCACCAAAGCTGTTGAAAACTGCCCGATTGGTGAGTCGCCATCCGCTATGAATGGCGTTTGTTGTATTGCTACGTCCCGCAAACGGCCTCAGCTCTACCCACCACGCAAAGCGGAAATGTGGGTGGCGAGCCAAAGCAGCGAAGGACGAACATCAGAAAAGCCCTGGTTCTGCAGTGCAGGAGATCTGCTACCTCTCTGGCAGTGGTGGCAGCAAGCATAACAAGCCAGAGTTGAATTGTCAATGCTGCGTGCAGGTCCGACAGATCAGCGACTTGACCGACTTGGATGAGCCTGAGGCATGGTTGGGGACTTGCAAGGTTATGGTTAACGTTCTCGACTATCTTATGCAGTCTAATTGCATCAACCGTAATCGCTTCGGCCCACGCAGAGGCGATTCTGGAACGCGCTTCATTCCTTTTTAAAGCAAGTGCCGCGTAGCACCGTGATTGATTAAGTTAGCCGACACGGTCTGTCGCTGCCTTCACGGAATAGTATCTTGTTCGGTTCGGGCATTTCTTTCAATGTCGCTTCAGCTGTCGTAATCGGCATGTGCGTCAATACTGAACCGGAAGGCGCTTGCCGATGATTTTATGCGTCGTTGATCTGCGTGCATCCCGTAAAAACGTCGTAACTGACATTCGGCAGCCCGAGATCTTGCTCTTCCCGTGTCCCTCTGCAAAGACCGGCCAGGAGGCTTCGAATTCCCAGCCCAACGTCCAGCAGGAGAAGGAGGTGAACCCCGGTCCTGTGGCGAGCTGAGGTAAGTGTGCAGAACATGTGCTGTCTGGCATAAAGACGGCCCGATCCTTTCAGCACTCTGAATCCCAGACAGGACAAATCATGGATTTTTCTGCACGGTTGCGATTGACAACGGGGCGTGCAAAAAGTAAAATGCTACTTGGGGAAAACCATAACGGGATATCAGTCTCGTGGCAGTATCCGTTTGAAAAAACTTTAATGGAATCACCAAGGGAAGCACATTAGCAGTCAACATAAGTGACAAAGCTATGGAACTAAGTACATATCATGATCTGCGCTCTGTGATCTGTTTGATAAAGTTATTTTCTACCATCTTTCTCTTTTTCTTTGCATTTAGTTCTGTGCCTGATTTTTCCAGTGTATAGATTTGAAATCCAGAAACTTGCAAACGGCCCCCCCCTCCCGAAGTGCTTGAAAGCACACGGAAACCGGGGAATACTGGAAAGCAATGAACAGTTGCTTGAATGTGAATATGAAACAACGGAGCACGACTGCATGCAATCATCTGCCTGTTTCTATTCGTTGACCCTGAGGCACGCGGTTTGTTGATTCGTATACCATGTACTTCTCACGTGTGTCTTCTTGTCACGTCCTTGGGTTTCTGATTTTGTTTTGGCGTTATTCCTATATTTTTTCTAGTATTAGCTTAATAGACGATGGGGCACCGCTGAGGCCAACGCGGCCACTGCTGCCGCGGGCCCCGAATTGCCTGAAGCCCGAGCTTGGGCTCCAAGCGGAGCAGGCGGCGCGCGGTGTCAGGGACAGACGTGCCCCAGAGGGAAATCTGTCGTCATGAAGTGCTGGAGCAAGACACGGCAGAAGCATACCTTTCCAGAAGCGGCTCCTTTACGACCATTGCTTGCCTATCCCGGTTTCTTCACAATACGGCCTCCACTCGTCGTGCTCGCGGGAAGCAGTCCTGTCTTGGCAGTCAGAGATTCGGATGCGGGGAAAGCGCAGAAGCTTCAAAACCAGAGACCTAGTGTGTGCTAGCTAGAGGTAGAACACTCTTGGCTGTGTTCTAACAGAGCTGCCGTAAATTCATTGTGGACACGTACTTCTGCTTAAACTCGGTGCCGCGCCTGGGTCCTGCATTGCTGCAGCCCCTTTTTACTACGGATTTCGGTTTGCTTCTCTGTGAACTACCAACATATGAGTGTTGTCAAGCCAGACATTTTGCAATTTCGGGGCTGGCTGAGCGTCCAGGGAAGGTATTGCACACGACCTCGCCACAAGGCCAGCCCCACAGACAACTAGCTGCTTGCGCGCAAGATTTTTTTCAACGAAGCTTTCTCCATTTCCAATGGCTGTGAAATCTGTATTCCTGTTCCATCAGCAGGTACTCCCAGGCTCTTACGTCGCCGTCGCTACAGGTGGTAGATGCGAGGCCATTGCATCCGTTGCAATGCACTGAAGCGATTTTGGGGTTCGATGTCGGTGGTCTCGACATGCAGAGAAGTGAGTCAATCGTGTCACGTTTGTGTCGTCAGCTTGTGCTGTCGCCTCTTTCCTGGAACTGGCTCAAAGACCTTGCCTTGGCTGATGGCTTCGTGATCCTCCTGTCCCGCTGCAGGCGTGCAGCGTGTGCGAACCTTGGTGCTGCATATCCTAAGGCTGCGCACCGAAATCTCAGCGGTCTGAGGCATCCAAGACGTTGAACATACTTCTATGCAGGCAGCTGGCTGGAAGTCTTGGCATGGCCAAGATGTGTTTCAAACACCTTTCTGACAGAGCGTCGTTGCTGCGCCGTCAGGCAACAAATCGACGGCTGCCGACTTGATGGTGTGGTGGCTGCCCCTTGGCTGAGCAGGTTCCCTCGGACTGAGCCTTGGACCTGGCCTCGTTCGACTGCCGTACTAGCTCTCAGAGCTGCAGGTTGCTGCTCTTCCCCGTCCCCACATTGCAGAAGGCATCGGGGTTGTACTTTGTGATGCAGCAGAGGGAGAGGATTCCGTGCCTGCGAGCCCTTTAGGTGTGGTATCCATCAGTGGATGATCAGATCGAAGGTTGCTATACAGCCGCGCGGCTGTTTTCAATGAAGTTCGGGCTCCACGTGGGGTACGGCCTACGGCCTGTGTGCGGATGTCGGGTTCAGTGTCCTCTGCAACGCCTGCCAAAGGGGATGTTTATCTCAGGTTTCTGCCGATCTTGCTGATGATCACAGTGCTGCTAGCTGTGGTGGTAAGCTACTTGCTCAGCAGCGTCGATTAATGCCACAGGGAACAGCTCGATGCTCGGATCTGTTTTCCAAGTCTCTCAGGCAATGTCCAAATTGCTACCAGCTCGACACATCATCCAACGCAGCCCCAGCATTTTTAATTCTTTATTCGCGTTCGTGTTCTTTCAAGAGTCCTCCGTACAGGCAGTCACCTTAACCATTACCAACTGCCACTTCGTGAATGGCGTGGCTCTCACCGGCCAGGCAAGCTTCGGTTGCTAGTGGCCCAGCGTCATCGCTGTACCGTCTGCAGGCTGTTTTCATGTACACCTTCTACAACACAGGTGCTCTTCGGGGTGGGGTCTCACCTGGTCCGCGTGCGCACAGTGCATGGAGGTACTCGCTCTGCGTTTGTCAAAGATGGCAGTGGTGCTGGCGCACGGGAGTATTTCATCAGGCACTCCCTTGTCTCAAGCTGTGTTTCAGATACCACATGCTTGTGGGCCTCTGCGCCTCGGACCCCGTTTCGTTAAGTCTTGCTGAAAATCCAATTTGCCTCCGTCTGTGTTCCACTTCTTCCAGGCCCATGGGCCAGGGCGATGCGGGCACAACTTGCATGTGCAAGGCACAGCATGGCACGGCGACAAGCAGCGGCGGTTGCTTTCCCTGGAATCTAGAAACGGCCTTGCGAGGATGGCGAGTTGGCCTGCAGCGCTGACACTCCCGAGGTCCTGAAGGTGACTGCCAGTGGCAGTTCACCCGGTAACCTTAGAGAGGGGTGGGGCCCTTCCTACCCAAGAAATGCAAGGTTCAACAGAGCCCAGCACGGAGTGCGCAACTTTGTCGGGCACGCCGCTGACGACCTCATCTCAGAATCTTCTGCAGGGTCGCTCTGTATAGGTGTGCGCGTAATTGGTGAGAGAGCCCTCTTAGGCTGGACCTAAGCACAACCGCCTGCAACTCACGGTACTGTCCCACATGCTCCACGGCTATGTTAAGAACCTGGCATGGTTGTTCGTTGCGCTTGGCAGATTCAGATGCCCCTGGCCCCTGACAGGCTTTACCATGGACACGACTGCAACGGGTGCCGACATGACGCTCACACTTTCGTGCAATCCCCGGATCGACAGGTTTCAGAATCCGCTCGACAGAACGTTATCGTAGCACGGTGCACCGAGGAACTGCGACTACTACATGGGACACCATCTATCCACAAACTACGTCATCAAGTGAGCCATTCTCGCATTGAGCGATTTGAGCAGACACGGGATGAAGAGATGCGGAGCTGTAACGGGAGATTACTTCTGACGAGGTACGACTTCTACAACTTCGGCACCCATTCAGCCACACCAGCTTGTGACTGTAATTTCTGCAGCCGTTGTGTTGCAGCTGGAGACAGGTCACCCTGGGTGACGGGTCGGTGGACTATCAAATGTCGCCTGGGCCTTCGGAGAAAGAGTCTGCAGCGTCATCGCCGGACAGCTGCAACTGCAATTTCCGCCAAATCTAGGTTTGGCAGTTTCGGCGCATCCGCAACCCACTGCGCCTGCCTGGCTGGAACGCTTTGGTCTCAGCTGCTGTCAGCTGCACTCGCTGACTCGCTCGTGTGATCCAAGGCTGAGATGCGATGCAGGTGGATCATCTGGAAGCATTCTGGGAAACCTCGAAGTTTCCGGCGGCCGCCTCAAACTTCGAAGAGCCCGAGGCAGCCCAGTTTCGGTCTCTTCCATTCTTGCCCGGCTTAGGCTATGTGTCTGTCTTGAGCCTGCTGCTCAGAGCCAGAATCCCTGAGTCCAGCTGTTTGCTTTGTTCGACGTGCTACCCAGGCTATTCGAGGGTCGGCAAATCTCCATCCGTCTCAGACTTCTCTGCGCTCGGTGCATCCCTCTTTGCGCAAAGCTTTGCGAGGCAAGCCCATCACTTTGGACTGCCAAGCCTTGAGCCTTTGCCGTTCTTTGAGGTCGGAAACTTCCCCTCCTGCCTCTAGTGCTGCCGATGCCCAAGACTAGAAGCATGGGGTGTCTGTTTCTCACTTCGGCTGCTCGAGACTCAAGGCCACTTCGGAGCCTTCCTCGCCGGTGCACAGCCGAAACCTGAGTGGCTCAGGCAGTCCGCTGACACAGCTGGGAGCACGTGGAGCTCAGGTTTCAGCCAATTTGCACCCTCGCCTTCGGCGCGGTCTTTTGCATGCCTTGACCCTGCTGCTTCGCTCCTGGGGGTCTTGCAGCTGGATCCCTCGCTGCTAGCTTAGACTGGAGCTGAATGACGAGCAGCTTCAGTCTGGAAGTCTGTCGGCTAGGAGTGGCCAGCGTTGTTACCAGGTTGCCAGCTCCTAACCCTGCGGATGCCGGGTCATCTTCATCCCTGCGAAGTCTTTCCTGCACAGGGCCTCAGGAACGCCCCGCAGTGATGCTTATTCGGGGCCGTGCTGCATGCAGTTGAGCTGTGTGTGCTTCCTCTGTGACGGGCCTTCCTTGGCGATGTTTCGTGGAGCGGCATCTCGACTTTGCCGAAGAGATCCCTTGGCCCCTTTGACGTTCAAGGCCTTGGACTTTCAGCCTCGGTGCCTTCTGGCGCAACTGCAGAATCCTCGCCGATGCTGCAAAGTGCCGCCCGCGCTGCCCCGAGCTCTCGCGACACCGGTCCGCTGGCTCCCACGAAGTCCATCTGAGGTGCTGGATCTGCTTTGTCGACGTTCGGCTCCATGGGATTAGGCGCAAGTTCATAGACGCATGGGGGAGTGGCTTAGCAATGCCGGAGCCTTTGCAGGGTTTTTGCTTCTGGCGGCGGATTTTGTCCAGCGTGAGCCTCAGAACTTGAGTGCGATGCCGTTGAGAACCAGGTGTGTCAGCAGCTCATGCCCTGCAGACTTCCATCTAAGCTTCCGGAATTTCAATGGTCAAGTTCTTCAGAGGGCAGCATGCACACGACACCAAGGCTTAAGCGCCGGCGAATCCCGACCTCCCTGTTTCGCCAAGTCGTCTGTCACACATCATGAAACCTGCAATATCCGACATAGGCTATAAGTCCAGTCAGGGAGGGTGTAAGTGGATGTTGATCCAAGTTCGGGTACATGATCGTCGTTGCCATAAATGCACTCTGAATGACTGGAAGAATTCCTATTTCCGACGGCTCGGCCTTGCCGATTGGTGGTCGCATGAGTATAAGGATCTTATGTTGGGGGCATTAGGGGCCCTGTAATAATACTGTACGCGTATTCCGGCAAAGTTTCAATGTGAGTTCCAACATTTCTGTGTCCTCGTGGGCCGTAGAAGCCTGAGAACCTCTGAAAGCGACTGCAAGCCTATGCTCTCAGTCGATGAGAGATCGGCTTTCACCTTCTAACCTGCTTGCAGCATGAAGACACCAAAGGGGTTCCACAGAAATGTGTTGCACTGCCGTCTTCCGTGTGTGGTTCACCAGTCTGGTCGTGTCCCACGTAGGATACGTAGGCGAATATGCTGGGAACGCGAAGGAAACTGGAATGCAGCAGAATCAAAGACGCGTTAAACTCGCATGCCTTCGTAGAGGCACAAGGTGTCGATGCTGGATCTTGAAGCAAATCGACCGGCTCCAGTGTGCATGCCAGATTCGGACTACGTTTTCGTTTCGTGTTCCAACGCTGATGTTCGGACGTTCGAAGGATCGGAGCCTCGGTCCCTGTGGTGGCATCATATTCGTATTGTCTGCGCGGTTCTGTGCTTTTTTCTCTTACTGCGTGTGCCGAGCAAGTAAGCGAGCGAGCGAACAAGCAAGCAAGCAAGTAAACAAAACCTAAAGCCTATAAGCCTTAAACCCCATGAGCACCAAGCCTCCCTCCGTGCAGGCTAGCAGCCCAGAGTGATTCGGAGTGAGAGCTTTTTGTCTTTAGACAAAGGTTAACCCAGACCAAAGCTTCCCCGGCCTAAAGCCCGCATAGATCCCCAAACAACAACAGAGCTCCACGTCGACAACGACGCCCACAACGGCCAAAACGACCGCAGCCACCACAATGAGCAAAACGAAAACGCCCAAAACGACCAACACGACCAACAGCCCCACCATGAATCAGCGGAGTTTTTCAGCGTTTCAGATCATCCCGCACATGTTCTCCTCATGTACTGGCGGCCTTGAACGTTGCACAAGTGCCCTCGCCGCAATGCTTCCTTGCCTTGACAGGTCAGTTCAAGCGTTTTCACGACACCACGACAAGACTGCACGAGGTAATGGCCTTTCCAGGCCAGTACAAGCCGAATGTATCGGCTGCGAATCGCACTTTCCGCAGGATGCGTTCGCAGCGGAACTGTGCAATTAATGCGGAATGAATGCAGATCGTGCAGCATACCACTTCTGGAGTAGGAGATATTAGAGAAACCGGCAAAAAAGGATAAACAACACCAAGAACGCACCGATAAACACACAAAACTCATCTCGCGACGCATGTTTTGCCCATGAAAGGTTGGAGCTTCTTCTGCCATCGCGCAGTTTCGCGCAAGCAGGTGCTGTCAGATTATTAGCATTCCTTTCGCTCCAAAGAGTCTTGCGCATCTTTGTTTGCCTGTCCAGGCTTCCCTGCATCTGCGCCACGTTTTTTCCATCCAGATGCTCTGATGCTGCTGCATGGGATGCTCGGCTTTGAATTCCAGCTGTGGCGTACTCTCTAAGACTCTAGGGGCCATTTGCTCACGTGGGACCTTGCGCAATTCGCGTTACTTGGCATCAAGGATGAATTGATGTGGTACAGCAGTACCTGCCTCTGGGTGCCAATGCATGGACTTTTCTGCCATAGTTCTGGATTCTTTACAGTGGAAGCCTCAGAGATCGAAGATGATCGAAGCATCGAAATCGTTGAACGACCGGCGAATGCTGCAGATTGGGCTTTTCGCCTGTGTTGCAAGCATTTGGGCGGCTCGGCGTGGCTTTCGCAGTGCCAGGCCAGGTGGCGGCCCCGGGCCCCGCTGTGCCATTGAAAGCCTGGGTAGTGAGCGTGCAGTGAGTGTAGTGTGCAGGTCTCAGCAGCCTCGATTTGCCAACTTCATCGCAGAGCTTTGCGGGGCTTGGATTGCTGCCAATTCCGTCTGGAGCTGCACGGTCGGACCCCAAGCGCCAAGCTGCGACACGAAACACAGGATTCATCAAAGCCCTGCGCTGATCTCAGGCTTGGACTTCTCGTGCTTGCTTTGGGTGTGGCTTGGCTCGGTCTGCCAACGCTCCTTCGGAGCCTTGCTCGAATCGGCCAGGGCCCCGGTACGGAACCAATCACGCGAGTTCGTCGGTGCGTGGATGTCCTTTGAATGTGGCTGTGAGGTCTTCCATTATTCGCCTGCCAATCTTTGCAGCCGCTGACTTAGCATCACTAAGCACTCCTCAGATTTCGTTTAGTTCTTGTAAGTCGAGACAAGCATCAGCCTTGCTGCAGCATTGCTTTTCTGAGTCTCGAATTCGTCATGCTTTTGCGATCACTTGCCAAACCTGATGCAGCATCGTTGGTCCGTGGCTCAGGGAAGGTCTTTGTGTGATGCTTGTTCTCGCAAGTTTTTCCCGATGTACTGCTTGTAATCCAGGTCCTGGGATGCGCACATCTTGGCTCCTCGCTGCTTCTCCGCAGTCTGTCTCATCCTGGGCCGGTATCTCAACTGTTTTTTATCGAAGAAGTGGCCGGCTGTAGGCATGTCTGCACGGCTTGTTTGATAAGGCCGTTTCTGCTGCTTGTCGGCTGCGGTCGACCAGGTGTTTGCTTACTTGCACCTGGGTGATCCATAGTTCCATGCTGACCAAGCATTGCAGGCACCTGTCTCGTTTTTTCGAGGTCTTTGGCGATGTCAAGCTCGACTCGCCACCTTTCTTGCGAAGCTTTGCTCGTGTTGGCTTTGCACTTCTCATGTGCTGACCTTACGGTTGCTGTGACTTGTATAAGGTTGCAGACGCAGGGGTAGTTGTACGCATCAGATTGGAGGTTTGATCTCCTCCATCCCGGGCTGCCTATACTGCCACAGAGCTCCGTCAACATCGAAGCAGCTTCGCCAGTGCCGGAGCCCTAAGCAGGCAGAGCGCCTGACGTGCAACCCGAGAGTGGTCTCACCTCGCCAGGGCCAGTGCCACACGACCGGGGAGCTTTCCTCCGGCCCTTGACTTTGTCCATTCAGGCACAGGGGCCCGGGGTCTCGCCGTAAGCCTCCGCTGCCACAAACCCACGTCATGCTGGCGCTGGCTCCAGGTTCTTCTCTGCCGATCCACGGGGCGGTGAAGCAAGGCGGTGCCTTGGCCAGCATCCCCTTGTGAATTTAGAAGTGCATCATAACCGAAGCGACATGACTTGTTTTGGGGTGTTGTTGTTTCGACAAAGAGATCAATTCTGGATTCATGCTTTTGATATTTTTGATGTTTCGGGACAGTCTCCCGCACTGCTATCTGAAGACTCTCGCATAATTGTTTGTGTTGGCTTCTTTCAGCTGTCTCGTGGAATATGTTCATTCTGTGTTATTGGTGGTTCTGCTTGGGGAATGTCTCGAGAACGGCGTCGTGAAGACTCTGAAAGCCAAGCAGCGGCTGCCTGAATAAGTTGGAATTCATGTTTTTTTATTTTTTTGCAGGGGCTATGTCGAGGAACGGCTTTCGGACAAGATCTCCAGAACTGGTTCCATTCTAAGTTTCTTTGTTGTTGGACTGTCTCTCGCCACCTATTTGGGCTTATTTGTTAGTATCTCGCGCAAAAGGTCTTAACTGAGTGCCCGTTTAATTTGTTGAAGGGGTTACCTTCATAGATGGTTGCAACCTGGTCTTGTGGATTCTATTTTGTTTTTGGCTTGTGGCGTGACGAACAGGGAAGTGTTGGTTGTTATGGATCTTGAGGAATATGCTTTCCGAAGAAATTATGCAATGTTCGGTGCGTTATATCCAAATGGGCTTTTATGGCCCTGGGCATTTGTGTTTGAGCAGATTCATTGTTTACTGTACGTGCTTCCCTGCGTGGTACTTCACCTATAGCAGGCAAAGGTGCAGAAATGA